CTTTCCTGCCAACACGAGGGGCTGTTTCTTTGCTCAGTCACTTTATTCTTCTGAAACCTCTCAGCTCTTTCCAATAATCCAGTCCATCCTCCTTTTGCATCACCTCTGATGGGTTTCAGCAAAGAGGGCATCTGAAGTCCAGCTGCCCTGCCTGGGGACGGCGGGAGCTGTGGTGGGTGGTGGCATTGCCTTATACCCGTGCTGGTTCATTCCCATCCTGTGCTGGGCACAGTTACACACTTCACTTTTCCTGTCAGACTCTTTGCCACAGGCCAGGGAGTCTGACTGCAGGTGGGTGTTCCTCTGCGTTTGTGTGCATCCACGTGCTATGTGTGGATGCCCAACTCCTGTTGCACAATGGCAGGAGGGTCACAGCTCAGTGCCTGGCTTTGATGGGGACGAGAAGTGCTGGGAGGAGAGGATGCAGCCTCAGGAACAGCTCGTGGGGCCAGACTGTCATCGCTGTCACTGGCTTCTCGGAACCCAAAGCTCAGACTCATCTCTCCAGCAAACCAAGAACCGGCTTTTGGCCTCAGAAGCATCTCCTACTTCTTATGCACTTTGCTGGAGATTCCTAGCCGCGCTCTGACACAAGTGGGTTTTTGGTTTTGTTCAGGAAGTTCAGAGCCCTTGCTGGTTTAGCAATAGCTTTATTGAGAGGTAACAAGGTGTATTATAATCCTGCTTCTTCCTACCAGCTCCTGTTTTGGTTTGCTGGGCTCTTAGGTAGCTTTCCCGTGCTGCAGCATCCCAGAGGGATGTGGGCCTCTCCTGTCTCTCATCATCTTACTCCAGGAGCAGACTGTGCAGGAAAAACAGGCCAACACTTGCTCTTCCATTTTTCTGCTTTCCTTAGGCTTTGCCTAATTAAATGCCTACTCACTTCCCATCACCTCCAGCTGCCAGCAGGCACGCATGGGCTGGCAGTGCTGCCCTGCGTCCCCTGAGCTCTCTGCGGTAAGGCATTATTCCACGGCAGGCTGGGCTGTGGGAAGCAGCAGCGAACATGAACACAGCTGTGCTCCCGCTGGCCCAGCCCACCGTCTTGCAGCAGGTGATGTGTATTTGTACATGCGACACTGCAACCATCTCCCTGCACCCCGCCGCCCCCTTCACATCACCAGACATGCACAGGCACCCACCTCGCCCCAACACGACTGGAACATTCCTGCCGTGTTACCAAAAATGCAGCAGACCCCTCACTGGCAGAGCCACCGTGCTGGTGTGTCCCACACGTCCATAAAGGCAGGAGACAAAACCTCAGGGCTGCTTCCCCACTCGGTGACCCAGCGTGACAATTTCGGCTCTGCTGCTTTGGCACTGGCAGCAGGACCCACTGCCCTGCGGATGGCACCCAGCTATGGCCGGGAATGTCTGTGCCGAGTCTGCATTAGCACTGCACAGCTGTCTCCAACCAGAAGATGAACAGCCACATACTGGGAGCTGTCTTAGTCTCCATTTAAAATGGAGGCTGTTTGTGCTTGTGCTTTCCTAAATGTCACAATTTTGCGGTAAATAGCACCAATGGAACATACCATGAACAAATGTTTTTAGAAAGAAACCCTAAGATCGTTGTATCTATTTTTTGAAGAAATGGGAGAAGAGAAAAAGGAGAGGAAAATCAATTAAATTATTAGAAGCCGTATTTAAGTATGACAAAACGAACTTGGCCTACTTAATGAACTACTGAGTCAAAATCTGCACGGATCAGCATTTACAAAATCTTAGCTTTGCAGATATGCTGTCATTCAACAATACAAAATACAACAATTGTCATCTGATCTAGGTGGTCCTGCTCAGGCAGGGGGATTGGACTAGATGATCCTCTGAGGTCCCTTCCAATCCCTAACATTCTGTGATTCTGTGATTAATACTATTTAGTAGAATTGTTGGCTGAAAGGTGGCCCCGTGTTGTAAAGCAAGTTGTGTTCTATACAGACTAGTACCTCATGGCAGTTGCCCCTTTCGCTTTGAAACGTCTGTATTTGTGTAAATCAGACAAGATTTTTGTGTGTGACATCCTACAACAACGTGTAAGAAAAACCCGCCGTACTGACACACAGACACGCTTTGTCTGTGGGTTAGCGCAGCGTTTCCCGAAGGACAGTGGCAGTTCAAAAAGACTGAGCCAGGAAATCACCTAAAGGCATCTCGGTTGTTCACCAGTGCCCCAGTTTTCCTTAAGTTGTAGTCTCAGTGTCTGCAGCAGCTGGAGTCTATTCTTTCCACTTCTAAAGGTTACCAGTACAGCAATGTGCCCGAGTCTGTGCGTCAGAGCTGTCATTTCAAGCCATCTGCAACATGCTGCTGCTGATTATTTAAATGTTAACTTGTTCGCTCCTCAAAACACACAAGAGAGGTGAGAAAGATCATGAAACAATTATGTAGAGCTTTGGAAGGCCCTTCTTGCCCGCTTCCTTCCACAGAGACATGTAAGAGCATCTGAGGAAAATTCTGTAGTAGGGCAGAAGTCGATTAATTTCAGTTGCAGATCCTGCACTTACAGTACTTGTACACTATTTAACTGCTTCAGCTACTTGTCTTTTCTGGTTTTTTAGCGGTGCGCTGGAAGCTTATGTTCAATCAGTAAGAACCAGAGAGGGAAAGGAGTTTGCACCAGTCTATCCCATAATGGTCCAGCTGCTGCAGAAAGCGGTATCAACCCTTCAGTGAACATTATCTGGACAACTCTCACAACAGGGAATGCACAGTAACACAGTGGGTCTTCGGTGCCACAGGCTGACTTACTCCCAACTACGCAAGCTTTACAATGAAACGCGCTTACCTACTTCAGCTGTGGAACTTCTCTCGTCTTGCTTTACGTTTGCACCGTAGGAACTTATTTATCCACAAATATTATAAGGAAATTTTATGTGCTGTAAATCTACATCTAATAAAAAATGAATCATTATTTAGCATTCCTTTTGAATTTAGAAAGGTATAAAATTAGAACATACTCGTGTATTACAGTAGAATCGGTAAGTATCTCAAATAAGAAGTAGCTCTTTTCCTACTAGTACAGTTTTAAACAGTTGGATATATTTTAGCCTTATTCCAGAAATCGTACTTTTGAAATGTTAGAATCATCAGTTTCCATCTAAAAATCACTAATTTTAAGACAAGGAAATATATTTATAAATAACATAAATGATTCTCTATTGCACTGCTGTTCACTTTGAAATAATTTATATTGATTTCAACTCTCTTTTGCTTAAACTGTAATAAAGAACATTGACTATCCAATCCCGAATTCAGTACGTGAAATTCTTCAGCAGCTTCCTAACTGGAAAGCATCAAAACACACTTCGGATGGGTTCATGTACAGACTTCCACGCAGAACGTGCTCTTCTCTGCGGGGCTGGCTTCATGATTAGTCGTCTCCTTTTTATGAAATACACCACACCGAATTTTAATGGGTTTATTTGAAATAATATACAAGAATATAGTGTGCAAAAATCTTAGGGGCAACATCATGTAGACATGTGTCATAAACTGAAATTTACAGTTGTGATTCTTAAAAAAAAAAAAAAAAAAGAAACACGCAGCTGTTTAGTACATGAAAAGCCATGATTGTAGAAGTTCACAGCAGAAGCAATTGTAATTCTAACGCAGCTGCTCTAATTTTAGACAGCTGGAGGAAAAAAAAAGTAAAGTGCAAGTGTTGCACGTATAGTTAAGTGCAAAGTTTGCCCCCACCATAAAAATGTCTTATGGCAAAATAAAATATTGTAGAATATGTGGCAAAGACAAAACACAGAGTTAAAACTATGATGGTGACAATATCAAGAGCACCATTTTTCTTGAGATAACGCTACTTATATTAGTTTCATCCTGGCCTGGGCCATTGTTTCCACTGGAAATAACAACTCCCACTACTGCCAGCTGGTGCAAAAACATCTCGCTTGTGGATATAAATTTTATACGTGGCAACCCAAGAAGCAGCTCCCGTGCTACATCACACTACGCACTCCATTTATGCCATGTTCCGGGAAGTTGTTGGCATCCGGGCAGGCTGGGAAGCTCCAGGCTGATAATACGTTTTGCCATTTCAGAAAATCCCAGGCCCCAGAATCGTAATTAATAATATGGTTGTGCAATACATATTAATCAGCAATAAGAATCAATGTATATAAACAGCTGTTACATATTTTAAAATTCCCCTTTTTGTACATTTTCTTTTAAAAATAAACATTTATACACATCTCCTTCGCCTCTTTCTAAAGTACTTTAGCACCACAGGATATCCATTTTCAAGCCTATATTACCTGATACATATATGAAGTTTGGAAGAAAAATAAGGCAATTTGGTTTAAAATGTTGATAGTTTTAGCTTACTTAATGTTCTATTGTAAAAAGCAAATCTGCACTCATATTAATCATTTCCGACTTGATGGTGCCAGTATTTTATGGTCACACAAAGTCAGAACAAATAGTAAGACCTTGACCTTGCATCTTCTTGCCATCAAGCAACAGCCATTTTCTAATACAGAGTCAACAGGAAAATTCTGGCTTAATGCTGTTGTGAGCCCTGAGAAAAGAGAAGAGAAAACCAGGTTAGTGGTTACCGAGCCAAGGGGAAGTAGTTATCTTAAAGCCAGCAAACTCTTGCTTTGAAAGCCATGAGTACTTGTAATCATGGGTCAGTTATTCAGAAGAAAACAAAAGGCCACACCAGATGATTATTTTATCCCCTGATCATCAAATGACCATCAAGACTCGTCACCCTTGTGTCCCCCTCATGCCACTCGGCACTGGTGAGGCTGCACCTCGGACACTGTGTTCAGTTTGGGCCCCTCACTACAATAAAGACATAAAGGTGCTGGAGCACATCCAGAGAAAGGCAACAGAGCTGATGAAGGGTCTAGAGCACAAGTCTTATGAGGAGTGGCTGAGGGAACTGGGGTTGTTTAGCCTGGACAGAAGGAGGCTGAGGGGAGACCTTATCGCTCTCTACAACCACCTGAAAGGAAGTTGTAGCGAGGTGGGTGTTGGTCTCTTCTCCCAGGCAGCTAGCGACAGCATGAGAGGAAATGCCCTTGAATTGTGTCAGGGGAGGTTCAGATTAGATATTAGGAAAAATTTCTTTACTGGAGGAGTGGTCAAACATTGGAACAGGTTGCCCAGGGAAGTGGTGGTGTCACCATGCCTGGAAGTGTTCAAAAAATGTGTAGATGTAGCACTTCAGGACATGGTTTAGCGAGCACAGTGGTATTGGGTTGACGGTTGGACTTGACAATCTTATTGGTCCTTTCCAACGTTAATGATTCTACGATTCTGTAAGACTTCTTTGTCACAGCCTAGAGTCCACCATCATTACTTGATAAGGTACCAAGCTGTGAACAGAATTCTTAGTTCGCTGAAGTAAAACAATTTTAAAAAGTTATTGCCTGCTGTGACACTGAGGTAACAGGTTCTACAGATACTGTTTCCTTGCCCTGGAGATCCTAAAAAACCAAGCAAAGTCCTACTATGAGGTAGGGTAAGAAATCCATCCTTCTTACTAAGGCCAACCCATTCCTCTCAGTTATACACAAACACCCTCACTTTCTTTGAAGCTCACAGGTGCACATGTGAAGGGAACTTGGTCTCACCATCCAATGCCCAAGACTGCAGTAGAGTAAAAGCAGAATAAATAAATAGTATTATTTTAACTAAACCCACAAGGAAGTCTAACAAAAGCTGTCACTGTTGATTAAAATAGAAGACAGTGAACAGAAAAACAGCTTGTTCCCAGCAGCTGGGATTTGGTGAAACCTTCTGCCGCAAGGGACTGAACACTCGGCACCAAGCACGTACAGCAATAAGCAGCAACTCAGTGTTGGAGCATTTCTTATTCAGTCTTGAGGCGACATGCTCTTGAGAAAGCAACCTCATCTACACATGAAAGGATGGAATCTTAAACCTGTGAAGCCCACACCACACTTGATGCTCCTACCCAGGCATAAAATGGCTGATGAAGGGACCAAGCATTCTGTGTGTCTCAGTGGATCTTTCCTTCCAACCTACTCTTCTAGCTGAACATGCAGGTTGGCAGAACCTCCTTTTTTTGATCTTCTCTTTACATGATTGATGTATTAGCTTGAAAGCTCTTATCTTACCTAATACTTCTACCACCTACTAATACACTGCTGCACTCTTAAATTGAT